AGCGAGAGAGAGAGAGAGATAGAGAGAGTGAGAGTGAGTGTGTCTCTCAGACTCACACACACTCACACACACACATACATATATATATATGAAAAAGAGTTAAAGAATATATATATATATATTATATAAAAATAAAAAATAAATATATATATATATATATATATATATATATATATATATATATATATATATATATATATATATATATATATATATATATATATATATATATTATAAAGCCTAATATTACATTATTATTACATTTATAAGTATTAATTTAATAGTCATACACTTTAAAATGTTTAATATGTGTTGTATACTTGTATTCCACTGTATATAATAGACAGGCACAGCCATTTAAGTTCTGAATAATCCAAAATAGCTCAACCCCCCTGTTCACTGTAGAAAAAAACACTTTCTATATTAAAGTGCAACGTTGTTTCCATGTTTTAAATAAATAAACTGCCACTTTTCTAATTAAATGACATACACATAAATATATATATTTAAACTTACAGGTTAATTCACATTTTTCACAATCTGAAAGATCATAATATTCAGCATCCTAATGCACAACACGACATGTTGGCTGTTGCAACTGGTCTCTTTTTGCAGCCGGGAACCGGTGTGACGTCATGTGTGACGTGGGTTGGTAATTCGTCTATGCTAATATCTTGAAAGTATCTATTCAAATATAATGTACCGTCATCATGACAAAGATTACGAGTTATTAGAAATGAGTAGTTATTATTTATTTAAAAATGTGTTAAAAATGGTATGCACGTGCACTCATCATTATTATTTCTTTCTTAGTTTTAGTTATGTGAACAGGGATTATTTTGACAGCATTTGGCATTGCCATTTAATAAAACTCGTCATGATGAAGCATTTTGCACTCAAAAAATATACAAATCTAGTATAAAACCCCTGATTTCACTGGGCAAGTGTTCACTATCGAGTGCACTCTACTGTAATCCCGATATTAACAGTCCTGTGGCAACATTTTTCTTTTGGGAGTTCATCTATTTATTTATCAGAGAGCACAGAGCGTTTCGGATCAGATTGATGGAGCTGCTGTTGGAGAGAGGGAACGTGAGATTGGAGCAATAAAAGTCAGAGTGAGAGATTAGACGGCCTTTGAAACACTTGGTTTCGACGGCTTCAATTTATCCAGCGCACGTCTCGCACACTGATGGTGCGGTGCCACCGCAGGAGGAAGGGACTCGTTCGAGATGACTGAGTCG